TTACGATATAGATTCTTGACCAATCAGACACAAGTTTAAAAACTAAATATTGACTCTTAATTAATCATTGAAAACTGACTGCGGTTATCTGAAAAATATAATGTATGCCATTGAAGGAAGTGTTGCTTACATTACACTAATGAAATACGACCACAGGAAAGAGAATAAAATTAAATTCTTATTTGTAATCAAAAATGGGCGCTTTAAAATTAGGACTAATGCAACGTTCCCAATTTCAGATTTATAATTCCAGATCGTTTTGTTTCTAAAATTCCATGCAGAATTGTATTTTCTACATTGTCCGTATCAATACTCTAAGGTACACATGCTTCAATTAATTCTTCCATAGCAGGGAGCAACACATCCAGGGAGTAAAAAACAAGTGAATACCTGGCCATATTTGGCAATCGCTTCTAGGTGTTGTTTTCCCGGAAAGAAATGGTTACGATATAAATAATCGGAGTACTAAATCGAAACCACCACATACAAAACTGAAAATTCGATAAACGCAATCGGAAATGCACCAAACGTATGTGTATGTGTATGTGTATGTATTTTTATATAAGTCATAAAAAATACATATGATATAGTATAAATAATACTGAACTATGTATATTCGTTCACTAATAAAGATATATTATAAAAAAAAGTTTGTGTAACTTAATACTGCTGCTACCAGATGTCAGATCCTTATATCGTAAGCGTTGTGTAAAAACTCTCTTTGAGCTCGACACGAGATTACACATTACGTTATTTATAACTGTTACCGATAGTCGTTTCGGCTTCGGGTCAGTAGGTCCACAGAAATAAGGTCTACGTAAATAATGACTAATATTTGAGGCATTTGGTCTACTCTAAAATGTCTACACATGACGCTAGCGTACATGAAAAAATTTCTAATGCATAGAAATGTCTATTGCCTAAATGTCTACAGCACAGCTGTCTAGTGCAAAAATGAATATTGTCCGAGTATAAAAAAGATCAATGTATGAAAATTTGCTAGACTTGTTAGTAATTATAAATTCATATTTAACTAAAAATATATATTTCTAAAATATCTGCAGTACATGAATAGAACAGAGTCTTTACAATCATTCTTCATATTCTTATACTTCATCTGCTTACAATTTCAGGCCATACCTTAATCTTAATCAAGTATGTGAATATTTAATTTCCCTTTCTATAGTCTTCATAGCGCGATGCCATTATTTGCTCCATATTGATTGCACATATTGAATTTGCTCAGTATTGACATAATATTGTAAGAGAATAGTGGAATAGTAGAATAGTTTCTGTTTCTATTAGAATTTTATTTAGTAGACATTTTTGCGGATGGGCTTCGCAGTTAGTAGACATTTTTGTTGATACATACTCGTATTTTAGTGGACGTTTCATCATTAGACTTAACATAACTGTAGACCACATTATTAATACACTTTTTTTTGTAAGACCTGAATACAGATAGACATTTTTGCTGTAGACCTACTGACCATGAAGTGCCGTTTCAGTTAAATGCAAAACCTCTAATGTTGGATAAACTTTACTTCGATTAATTGAAAGTTAGAATAGTCTCGCGATAATCTCGGTTAACCGATTCTGTCGATCAGAAAAATAAACAAACAAAAAACGAATGGTGCTGTACAATAGCACAGACCTCTCGTTCTGGTGCATTCCCGTTTGAAGTCGCGGCTGAGCTTACGGCTTCCCTCAGCCCCGTTCCCGCTGCCATTGATCGGCGCCTAAAACACCTCTCAGAATCTCTCGCGGTATCTGCACCCACCGGCGAGGGTGGCTCAGGCCTCAGAGGATGTCACTGAATGGCCTCGGGAGCTCCTAGTGTCGAAAAGGGCAGAATTTTCGCATTCATCCCCTGTCTGGAGGAGAACTCCAGCGGCCTGCTGCTCTGATCGGACGTTTTCCGTGATTTTTATTATTAACCCCAGGGGAATGCCGGAGCACTACCCTAACAAACGGGACACGGACCGCGCGCGACCTTTCTTTCCTCTTCTCGCGGCCTTTCTCTTCTCTCTTTCTGTTCTCACCCTTTACTTACACACTTACACTAACCTGCGCTAGAGTACCACACGGGCCGGCAGACCGGTCGGGAGAGCTGAGAGCTTGTCCCTACTGGGGCAGTGCCCCGCTGTTGGAAGATACGTGGTTGAGGAAAACCCAGCTTGCCACGATAGGTCGGCACCGGATATCGCCATACAGCGAGGGAAAGATCACCGCCACCTCACGATCAAAACATGCACTACACTGGCGGGACTAATCCAGTTAGTTGACGTGCCCGATATCACTAAAACAATGAATCAATCATTGAGCTGTTTTGGGATCTTTCGCCTTGTTCCAGTTCGCATGGGAGTAACTGAAGTAATTGGGGGTCATGTGCATTACGCAATGGTTCAGTGCCCAGTGGGGACTAAGGGATATACGGGCGAGATATTTGTGGAGCGCGAGGGGCCTCTTTGCAGAGAATTGTACCTCGGAAGACCGGGAGGGAGAGACTTTTAAGCGTTAATATTTCACAGCTGGGATGTGGTTGTGGGGAAACCGTAAAATTGTCCCTGGATCAAGTGAATAGGAAACTGAACTAAACACCAAAATCAGTGCCATTTTGTAGCACCACTAGTTCTTGAAAAACTTAACTTCGCCTCTTAAGAAAATATAACAATAATTCGGAAGCCGAACTGCATCTTGACGTGACGCCTGCATACCATGTTAAATGTTTGTTTCAGTCACATTAATTATGAATGAAATTGAATATGAATGAACTGTTTTCAAATTTGGTAAATTATTTTTGGATCTTCACCTTTACCGACATGCCATGCACAAACACTACTCTAAGGAACTCTGTGCTACGTTTCTTCAGAACTATTTTTCAGTTTTTTTATATGCTTAAAATATAACTACATTTTCGAGGTTTTGTCTATATGTAATGTTACTTAACATCACTCCCACTACGGGTGAAAACCGAGTGAATCATCGATAGAACTGTTGCCCGCAAAATTCCGGGCAATGTTGAATCAATCTCCTTTTTATTTCTTTTGTTAAATATTTTTTCATTTAATAGCGTTTATAGAAATTACATTATTGATTGATTACACAAGTGAAATTCTCGTATAAAAATTAGGGATCACTTTAATTATCGCTTGGAAGTAATTTCGGGGACGTGTTCATTAAAAATTTACTTTAGCATTTTGTTATTCAAAATTCTACTTGCAATCTAGGAAAAATTGAAGCCTCTGTCTCTATAGCGTATGGCAAAATGTTATGGTACCTAAAATAGTGAAGCAAAGAATAGTTTTCGTGCGTTATCAAATAGTGCAGACAGTGAATGTTAGAACCACACGATAGAGTCAATTATAAAACCCTATAGCTACAGTTATACATAATCACTAATTTATTTATTACGTCATTGGATGTCCTTGTTTAGCTATTAGTATGATTTAGTTGAGACTGTCGTTGCCCAGGCAATAACAAAGTGCTGCATGTCATACTTTAATTATATTTTTTGTGTTTCCTGCGTGTTCAATTTAAGGCATATTTCATGCCTTGTACATTTTATTTCTAATCCTTTGGCCATGTCGTATCAAACGGAGCTGGAACCGTGCGAGTTCTGCGCGCTGCAGAAGACAAGAAGGGGGACGCGGCGTTGACACCCCACACGTGGGCGCGCTGCTGAATGCAAAGAAATACCCGGCTAGTGTGCACAGTAATACACTACTCAATCGAATCATATGTTCTAGACCAGGGGTGTCCAACTTGCAGGGCCCCAAAGGCCACAACTAAAACCTTTAATACGATTGAGGGCCGTATTTACATTACTCTGGCGATCCACGCGTGGCTTCCCCGCCTTGTTGCTATCGGCGCTCGGTCCAGCTGCTTTGAAATGGAGGGAGGGTGGAATGGAACCCATTGGGATGATTTCGTATTTCTCAATTTACTAGAAAAAGCCTTAAATCTAAACTTAATCTATTTTAGCCTAAGGAGGTGTGGACGCTGGCACGGAGAGTGCGCTAGGTGCACAATATTCTCGCTAATAAACGGACGCAAGGGCTTTCAATTTTTACTAATAATATTTCGCGAGCCACTGTACATGGAACCGCTGGCCACCAGTTGGACAACCCTGTTCTAGAATAACATAAAATGTAGGCTTTCACGGCCGGTTTCTACATCATAATCAGTTATTTCCGGGCTTGAAGACCGTGGTCCAACGGAGACTGGTCCATACGTGTCGCCTGCAACTGTGGCAGGAATCATCAGTGGCGTTGCTGCAGGAAGCAAAGTGCTCTTTTGGAAGAATCGTGTTGACGACATTCAGTGGACCTCGGCCTATTGTAGAATGTTTCGAACCTCAATTTAATAGGTAAAGGCCCTCCCCACCTACATGTGATCCAACGCCTCTCTACCTCAGTAAAAGTTAGAATAAAATATTTCTCAGGGTGTACGAACTCCTCAGTTGGCTGTTTGGGCAATTCTATGCCCTATTCTTGCGCAGTTCAACATTTGCACTAATGTAAAAGTTTCTTAAATATGTATTTTCATTATGGGGTCATTGTAACAATATCTTAACATAAAAATGTACAGATCTTTAGCAGTCAATGCAATGTCTCACTTTCACGTACGAGTGAGAAGAATTTCACCATGAACAAAACACGATCGTCCTCTCAGACACCCGAGTTCATTTGTTTATAGAGCGTCTCACATATTTTAAAACACTGTCTGTTCTTAAGAAACTTCTAAAATTTCGATGTCAGTACACGTGCTTATTGAGGCGTAGTGCCTAAAACATTCAGATGTCAGTTTGTGAAGCCAGATGGCTAAAATTCAAATAATGCATATGAGAGATCACCGTGTGTACTCGAATTACGTTACGTGTTTGAGCGGCGCTGAAGCTGCTTGGGCAGCTGAGGCGTTTGGTACATGGGCCAATCGCCGCAGTGTTATATGTATATATGTCGGTGTGTTGAGAGAGACGTGGGGCGTTTGTGTTGCAGACGCGGCTGCACCAGATCCACGGGGCCGTGGCGAAGCTGGGCCTCGAGAACGACGCCCTCAAGCAGCAGCTGCGCTCTCTCGAGGCGGCGGTGAGTGGCGCTCACGCACACACACACACACACACACACACACACACACACACACACACACCTGCGACCTCAACCAGGGCTTCCTCGATTATACTCCGATTAAAACACTTTGACCATTCAAGGTCAAGAGCTGGAGGGAGAGACACATTTAAATCCAATAGGGAGCTTCGTTACGACTTGAATCTTTGGTATTGGAGCTCCAGATTGGGGGACGAGTGAGTGCTTATCTTTTTCTAAGAGTGGCGGGGTAAAAATAGTTTGAATAGTCAAATGGCGCAAGGGGCCTAGGAGATGTTGAACGTTCTGTACGAGTGGTGGAGTTGACGGGGTCCGAGAGTTCCTATAATGGCAAGGGGCCGGGGAGGTTCTAAATGTGCTGGATGGGCACGTGTTCAGAAAGTGGTGGTAGGTGCAAGGGACCGGTTTGGTGCTTATCTTTTTCTATGAGTGGCGGAGGTGAACTTGGCCTGAGAAGTCAATTGGTGCAAGGGAGCCTAGGAGATGTTGAACGTTCTGTACGAGTGGTGGTGGTGAAGGGGTCCGAGAGTTGCTATAATGGCAAGGAGCCGGGGAGGTTCTAAATGTGCTGGATGGGAACGTGGTCTGAAAGTGGTTGTCGGTGCAAGGGGCCGAGTTGGTGCGTAGCTTTTTCTAAGAGTGGCCGGGCGGAAGTGAACGTGGTGTGAAGGTGGGTGTAGGTGCAAGGGGCCGGGCGGAGGTGAAGGTGGGTGTAGGTGCAAGAGGCGGGGCGGAAGTGAACGTGGTGTGAAGGTGAGTGTAGGTGCAAGGGGCCGGGGGAGGTGAAGGTTGGTGCAGGTGCAAGGGGCCGGGGGAGGTGAAGGTGGGTGTAGGTGCAAGGGGCCGGGGGAAGTGAAGGTGGGTGTAGGTGCAAGGGGCCGGGGGAGGTGATACGGTGTGATGGTAATGGTGCAAGGGCCGGGGATTTGGTGAAGTGGGTGGTGTGCAAGGGGCCGGGGAGGTGAAGGTGTGTGTAGGTGACGAAAGCTGGCGGGGGATTGGTGAATAGGTGGGTGCAGGTGGCAAGGGCCGGGCGGAGGTGAACGTGGTGGTGTGAAAGGTGAGGTGTAGGTAGCAAGGGGCCCGGGCGGAGGTGAGGTGGGTGTGAAGTGGTGCAAAGGGCGGGGGAAGTGTCGAAGGTGTGGTGATGGGTGCATAGGGCCGGGAGGGTGAGAGGTGGGTGCAGGTGCAAGGGGCCGGGGAGGGTGGGCAGGCAGGGCGGGTGAAGGTGGTAGCGGTGCAGGGCCGGGCGGAGTGCACGTGTTGAAGTGGTAAGGTGCAAGGGCTGGGAGGTGAGGTGGTGGTGTAGGTGAGGTGGCGAGTGAGTGGGTTGGGCATAGGGGCGGGGGAGGTGAAGGTGGGTGCAGTGCAAGGGGCCGGGGGAGGTGAAGGTGGGTGTAGGTGCAAGGGGCCGGCGGAGGTGAAGGTGGGTGCAGGTGCAAGGGCGGGGATGTGCATGCAGCGGGACGGAGATGACGTGGTGTGGAAGGTGGGTTACGGTGCAAGGGGCCGGGCGGAGGTGGAAGGTGGGGAGGTGAGGGGGGGGTAGGTGGGTGAACAGGAAAATTGCAAAAGGGCCGGGGAGGTGAGGTGGTGTAGTGCAAGGGGCCAGGGGGAGTGAAGGTGGGTGCAGGTGCAAGGGGCGCGGGGAGGTGAAGTGGGTTGAGTTGGCAAGGGGCCGGGCGGAAGTGATACGTGGTGTGAAGGTGGTGTTAGGTGCAAGGGCCGGGAGGGAGGGGTTGGCAAAGGCGGGTGAGGGGTGTAGTGACCGGGTGAGTGGTAGGGCAGGGACGCGGTGGCGTGTGTGAAAGTGGGTGCAGGTGCAAGGGGCCGGGCGAGGTAGGTGGTCAGTGCGGCCGGGAGTGGTGTGGAAGGTGGTCAGCTGCCAAGCTGGGCAGGGGGGCGTGGAGGTGCGGCGGCGCGCTTGCCTGGGCGGCTGCGGGCGGCTGGAGGCGGACAACGCGGCGCTGGTGCGCGAGGCGGAGCACCAGCGGCGCCAGTACGAGCGCTGCCTCGACGACGTCGCCAACCAGGTGGTGCGCGCGCTGCTCTCGCAGAAGGCGCTGCGCGAGGAGATCGGCGCGCTGCAGCGGCGGATCAAGGTACTACACCACCTGTAGCCTCCGGTGACGGCTTCGGGCAGTGAGCTAGAAAATACAGTGCGCCAGGAAAGTCTATCCGCAGTGACCCGGGTTAGGGCGCCCTTTTAAAATTTAATTTTAGTAGCAACCAAATCACTGGGAAACAAGGAACAAGAGAACAACAGTTACTGCATCTATTATGATTGTGGTGAGTATTCATTATCCGTTGCAAGCATCCTCTCCAGCAAGGTGCCACTGCGGAGAGATTTTCCTGGGGCGCTATGCTACAAACAATGGTTGATTCTATGGTTTTAGTGTTCTTGGTTGTCTTTTGCAGTGAAACATGAGAAGTGCCTGATGATGGCGCATAGAACTGCTGTAATGAATCGACGTGGTGTTTGTATAAGATGTCTATATTGTCGTTTCGTTTATCTGTAAATTATATTTGTGGTTTAAATGATAATATTCACAATGCTTTCAGTATGTTCCGCATATAATTTAAAAAAATGAAAGACATCAAACCACAAATATGTCGTTTTGTATGTTTGACGCGTAATAGATGAAGCGTTTGCTTCCTATTGTAATAACATTCTCTTTGAGGCGTTATACTTATTAAAATTACATTTCAACAGCTTCCATTCTTATGATAATGACCTATGCAGGAAGCAACGTGTTTATAAAGCTTTTTCAATTCGTTCTCCTTACATATTGATTTTGTTTCTAAATTTGTGGTTTTTGATCGTGAAACACAGATTAAGAGGATTTATATTACATGCAGTTCGTGCCCACCACACTTTTGTAGTTTGTTTTGTTTAACATTTTTTTTCTTCGGATACCCAAAGTACTCTGACAAAAATTGCTCATGTCCGATTTTCGTTTAAATGTACAAAATTGCAAATGTTATATTTTTGGAGTATCTGTTGAAGATACGGATTTTATCTTCACGAAATCTGTTTTCAAAATTCGTTTTTTAATTATTCATTTCCCTTCCCTTCGCGGGAGTTCGAGATATCTGGAGAGTATAGATGGTGTACCAATACAGGCGCACAAAAAGATGCAATGTCAACCCCATAGACTAGACACATGTTTCTCTGTGTGTATCGACGCGTTGAATGCGAATCTGAAGCCAGAATTGCGCCACTACCCTCGAGTTTTGTAATCGCGAAAACACCCGTGAAATTGTATTTTTGTCCTTGTTTTATTTGGTTGTTGTCTGACAAACTAGTTTGGATAAAAATGAAGAAAAACTCATTTTTACAATGAAGTACTAACTTAAATGGATTGGACGTGTATGTCACAAAATACATTTTAAACGGTTTTATAGATTCACGTGATGTTAATGACTTGACTCTCACAGCGGACCCTTGGTTGCTACTGTCCACACATTGCTTTTGAGAAGCGTCCGCAGAAGTACCTCGTCACGTGACCTTTGTTTTAATCGCCATCATCCCATTAAGATTGGTACATGATACCAACAAAACTTAGATGTTACAAGTCAAGGGGTTTGTATTCATTATTCACAATATTAGCCAAAATGGCACCGTATTGTAATGTAAGTGAAAGCGTAGTGTGCTGATGACGCGTGTTGAAATGGCGTTTGCCGGAAATAGGCTCGCGCACAAGTATACGTGCATTTAAGTGACTAGTCACACAATGAAGGTACTCAGTAGTTCCAAAGACGGAGAGGGAGGGGACGCGGGTGGGGGAGGCTCTCGGCGCCGGTGGCGTCGTCCGCCTTCGCCATCGAGGGATCTCGTGCCTTCCGCCACCCCGCCCGCGTGGCGCGGGGGGCGAGGTGGCGTCGGTGGCTAAAGCCGTCGCTGGCGCGCATGCGCAGGAGCTGGAGGCGCACAACCGCGCGCTGTCGGCGGCGCTGGTGCAGCAGCTGCGGGCGGGCGTGGGCGCCGGCGCGGGGGGGCTGGGGGCGGAGGGGGCCCCGCCCCCCTGCGGCGCGCAGGCGGCCGCCGCCACCCCGCTCGGCGCCGGCGAGGACTGCCCGCTGCCCGGCGACCTGGTCAGTCCACCTTCCTTATTTACTTATTTACGTCAAAAACAGTCAAACACTGTGCTATGGGAAGAAGGTAATTTGAAGTTACATTTCAGTTTCATTTACAGTTTTTTTCCTATCGTTGTAAAGGCCCATTCACAATGCAAACGTACGCGTAAGCATAACGCCTAAACGTAAACATTAACATAAGTGATAGCCTGAAGTATTCACAATGCCTAGCATAAGCGTAAGCAAAATTAGTTTCTATTGTGATCTGTGAGTCATTCTCGTTTACTATTGTTTGGATGTGAGAATCGCTTTCGATGTATCGACTGTGTCCATGGCGCATATGGCGTTAATTCTTCTATCGACTTCCCTCCAATTTAGATTCTTGATTTTGAGTTACCGTTCTGTGATTGGTTTATTTCTTATGTCTTACTTAGCATAAGCACAGCATCTTGAAGCTTGCCAGCTTTTAAGTTAACGTCTTACGTGTTATACTTATGCGAACGCATTGTGAATGGGCTTATGGAGTAGTTCTAACTTTTATGCCATGTTCATGTTTAACGCCATGTTTATGTTTGCATTGTGAATGGGATTTAACTCTCTAATGAATCATCTTGTTATTATTCAATGATCCCGTTAAATTTAAATACAGATATTTCTAAAATTTCATTTCATTTTCAATTGCTCTAATATACGAAAAATATCATCGTCAGAACGCTGTACGTGTTAGAGCAAGTGAAAACAAAATGAAATTTTAGAAAAATCTGTCTTTGAATTTAATGGGATAATTTAATAATAACAAAACTATAATTTCCGTTTAAATGTGACTAATGGTTCATTTAAAGATGTTGATTATTCATTGGAGGCCACATATTAGTTCTAATATTCTTTACATTATGAAACTGATCGTTGTTGTTAACAGTGCTTCATGTAATTTTAGTTAAAATATGTGTTTTAATTACTCTTATTACGAAAGTGATCTCAATGTGGTTAAGTTTTACTTTATATAACCAAAATGGATAAGAGTTGTTTTTTTATACCAGCATTATAAACGTACTTTTCTGTTGCAAGATATCGTTCAAAGAAGGGTCTTTAAGGCAAACATGATGACGTATTAGCATTTTACGGCACGAATGATTGCGTCATCACATATTTAGCCAATCACGAGAGAACCGCGGGCAGGTTTCGGTAAACGGAACAGCCGAACAACGTTCTCTCACACAGATGTCAAATACCCGAAACGTCACAAGAAAGTTGTTTCGCAAAATTAGGTTGGATCCTCGTATAAATTTATAATGCTGTTTTACAAAAAAAGTAGCGTAAGCAACTGGTTTATATTGTTACTTTATTGCAACTGGTTTATAATATCACTTTTAGCACAAGTACTAAAAAATTTTAGCGCCTTCTCTGTGTCCTTAAAAGTCTCATTTAGTAGTTGCTTTGTAATCAATAAATTCTATTGTTCTGTAAAGTTGTAAATTATATTTTTCTCGTAAAAACGCGGATTAAAAAAATGTGAAAACTTTTGCCATAACTGGATATTTTGAGCCATTATAACTTCATGAATAAACCAAAGGCAAAATGATCTAAAAGCGGTTATTTTTTTTTTTAAAAAAAGAGAGATTACGTATGTTAGTATTTCGTAAAAACGAAGCTTTAAAGTATATTTCTCTTGCATTCCAACTGCTTAAATACATCGATGTCATGCATACATCAATTTGACAGCAAACATCAACAAACAGCAATTTGACGGAATGGCGAACAACGGGGGAAAGTTCCAGAACAAATTAGCCAACATCGTTGAAATGGACGCCAATGGGCTTCCACGTGGCCCTCTACGACCACGCCCCCCGATTTGGTTTGGGATCAGAGCGTGAAACAAACTCACTTGAACTTGACCAGACTATTAAAGCTCTGGAAAATGATCGATTTTCTTTGGTGTAAATGGACTATGTATAAAGATGTTCAATATTTCATCAAGTCGTAAATATTACTAAACCGTGATCATTACATCCATAATGTATCATTACCGGAGGTCCGTCAAACTGTCACAGCAACTACAGAACAATCAGATAAAACAAACTGAAGTTTTTTGTACTAATTTATTACTCAATAAATGAATGCGGTTTTGCTGGCTAGGTCAATCTAAAAGCATGTAGTGTTTCTTCAACTGAAAGGAGAGTGGGACATTTCGTCCAGGCGGGAGCTTCGTCACCAACAATTGAAGTCGCACCGAAGCTCCCGATTGGATGTCAATGTCCCCTCTGCTTCCAGCTGTGCTTCCACCTTCAAGGAACACTGCGTGTATGCTTCTATTAAAACGGAAAGTCCCTTCAAGGTCACGAGCTGCAAGGAGTGGGGGACGTTGACATCCAATCGAGAGCTTCGTTTCGACTTAAAATTTAGTATTGTAGTTCCCAATTGGATGGCAGTGTCCGCCTCTCCATCCAGCTCATGATCTTGAAATGCGACCACGATTAAATGCAAGTTCAAATTGCAGAATAGCGTGAAGGCCCGTGGTAAAGTGTTTGTGTGCATGAGTAACTGAGTGTTCCTATATTAATAGCTTAAGAACTAATGAGGGCGACTGCCAAAAGAAACGGGAAGACCAAAGAACAAAATCAAGAAAGTAAATAACTTTAAAAATAAATAATATAAATAATAGACTACTGTCAACTAAATCATGGCACAATGTGGCCATTGGAACTACTTTTGGTTTAGAATGAAACATAATCTTAGCTCGTGATGGTGTTGCTATAGTTAGCAAGGGACTGATTCAGGCGGATGCCTTATGATTATTACCAACTTAATCTCCTTCCTGTAACAGCTTCGAAGGACCAATGTAATTATTGTTAGCGAATATATTTGTAAGTATACAAATAAATTAACAGTTTTCGCTTACGAAGGGTAAATCTTTTATCGGTCAAGATTCATTGTTAAATATCGTAAAGTGAATGTAGAAAATTAATGCTTAATATCACTCTAAGTAAACACGCTTACAAAATTTAGATCCTTTCGATTGAAAATGTTTAATTTTATTTGAAATCTTTGTGATATATTATTTCATTTTAATAAATCATTTCTTTGCTCAGAGAACAAAATGGGAAATGATATCGTATTTGGGACAATAACTGACTTCTCTAAAGTATTGTCCTGGATCACGCATTCAGTTATGAAGTGAGAATTTGTACTACCCTTTCTTTTAAATTGAGCGCCAATTTCTCAGTTGGCTGTGCCCGCGAGCTCTAGTAAGCTTTGCTACCTCGACATGCCATCCGTAGCCCATGTTGTTAAATACGCTCCTACCTCTCGAGGGCTACTGTGGAGCGTGGAAGGAAAGAGCGTTGCTTGTGTTGCGCAGAGCCTGCTGTCGCCCGCCAGCGGCGCGGGCATCGCGGCGGGCGCGGGGCGGGGGCTGGACGCGGGGGGCGGGAGCATGCCTCCGCCCTGCAGGTCGACTGGACGATTGGGTGGAGTAGGCCTTCGTCGCGCGTTGCCGCTGGCTGGGCTGCTCGCTGCCCACTCGTCGCCACCCGCGGCGCCGCCTTGCGATCACAACCACACGACAGCGATACACACCACGTCACTCTCATCGCCATGAACACCCTCGTACGCCACAGGCAGAGTCCAAAGGTCCGAATCACCCCGCCACAAGACAGTACTAGAACCTGGACGCTCTTTCCACGTGTTAAATACACTACATGAAGATCACATAATATATCAAGATAATAATAAATAATCAGCTAATAAATAATAATAATCATAAATAGTCTTTAATGGCGAGGCTCAGACCATATAGTTCTTCGATGTCAAACCACTGAAGTTATACATCATATGAGAGTAACATCTTTAAGAGGGAAGACAAGCTCGTATTTATGTCTGGGAGAGACACAATCTAACCATCGTCTTAAAGAGATGTGAGTAATACGCCATTAAAGCCTCAATAGAATGGCGACTTAGCGCAACTATCATTCACCCGAAAGAAGCGGAAGGGAAGGAAAAATAAGAGACAATGGAAGACCATAAATGAAAATATAAAGAGGAAATCCGAAGGAAGGGAAAAGAGCATCCGTAGAGAGGGACAAGCTGCTTCTTTAAACAGGACGAACAATTGGGATTCGTGCAACATTCTCGGAATATACAGAAGTCGACTAGTATCATATAGTTCGGTGTCGAATTAAAGTAGAGCGTACTGTCGAGCTCGTAGAGTGCACTCACGCGGAACACGACAACCTGTGTACCGGAGATAGCGTTGGTCGGGATCTAGAACAGAATGTGAACCTAATGTATTCTTTATTACAAGATATTCGAAAATTATGTGCGCAATTACACACCATTGGCATAAGAGAGGTTGGTGAGCTCACGACGCGTTGAATAAACTGAAACGCACATTTAAACGTCTTGGACTCCCGGTTCCCTTTTTCGTGCGTGATTTGTCAGCGCCTTTTAAAAAAAAAAAAAGTAGAAGAGTACAGGTGGTTTTTCTCTCCTATACTGGGCATTAACACAGAAAGTTAAATAGAAAACCCTATTCAAGTCACGAGCTGAAAAGAGAGAGGCTGGAACTGGTCATTCAGATCTGAGCTTATACCAAACAATTAAGACCGAAGCTTGATTGCGATAAACGCGTGTCTTTCTCTGAGAGCTCGTACTTGTGAATATGTACGTTTTTTTCAAGTTTTAATAGATTATGATTTTTTCAAGTGGCGTTTCAAGGTGAGAGTGGATGTTGTCGGTCCAATGTGGTTAGCCCGAATCGAAAAGTGTTAAATCGTACGAAGTTCAATTGGATTACGAAGCGCCCCTCTTCGTCCAGCTCATGGCTTCATGCGCCACTGTTGAAATCGGATGACCATACTTCGAATTTAAACCGTAGTGGCACGAATCAGGAGGTCGAGCCACTCAGTCCGACGCGCAATCCAAGTTGGGAGCTCCCATCCAGAAACTTCAAGTCGTAACAAAGCTTGCGATTGAATGACAAGTGTTCCACTGTAGTGAGTTGTAGCTCCCGATTGGATGCCACGTTAAAGAACCAAGCCCGGCCGGGCGGGCGGAGGATTGCGCGTTCCGCCGCGGAGGGGTGCCGTGGGGCGCCGCCGCAGCCGCGGGCCTGCCTTGGGCGCCGGCGGCGACGGCCGCAGCGCAGCGACGGGGCCGCGCCAGGGC